GACTTCTCACGTTGCCGTCGCCGTCGCCGTTGTCGGATCGTAAGGTCCCTATTGTTCCTTCACGACGAGAGTGAGAGGAAAAATTTTGAATCAAATATTGCTTGAAGTGTGGATGAGTAGCACCAAACATTTTGATTTGAGCAGTTCTTTAACGCCAAGCTGTTTTACAAGATTCATGATTTGTTGAGCGTGCCGATTATATTTTTCTCGATTGGTTTGCTCGGTGCTATTTCTAGATGAATGTCTGATTACAATTAACTATGGACGATTTTGTGTATGTTTTCGATGCCTGGAAAAAGTGATCTTTTGGAGTCGTATGTGTTTGGCTAAGGACGAATTCAGATACCATCGTTAGCATGGTTATTTGATTTTTTTTTCTGGAATGAATGATTTACGGAGGTAAGTTAAAATGATGTGATCTACTAACGTCGCAAATATCAAGTATCAAGTCGAAGGAACAGTTTTGGTCTTGGTCCGCATTTTTGTCAACAAAATAAACACATACCGCTTAAAAAGAGGATAATACGGACCACGTGGACAGTTGTTAATTGTTTCTCAAATTTTGCGTATGTTATATATTCAATAGTGACATCTCGTTTACATCTACATTTTCATCTACTTTTATTACGTTTGTAAAATATGTACAGACATCACACCAACCAACTCGCGCGCAAAGTGAGAAGACTATATGAAGGCTTGAAGTTATATTACGATCGATTTTCATCGAGAAATGGACCAGGAATATTCCAAAATAATGCAAATAATCGTGAAAGCTGATCGCGGCAAAGTGATTGCGTGACGCTCGGTGAGTTGTACGATGACATGTTTTCACATGCTAGACGAAAAAACTCTTTAGATTCTCAGTCTGAGTTTTGTACCCACTCGGCAGTCTACAGTAGGTTAATTCGAAATTTTCGTTTCTTTTCCGCGTTGATACTCTTCTTTCCTTTTATAAGAATTTAGACATCATTTACAATGTTTCATGTAAACCACCCACCCCCCAAAGAATAACTTTTGCATGCAAAGCATGCCTATGTTTTTATCAGGATGGCGCACTTTCCACACGAGGTCTTGGCGTAGAAACGACGGCTCAGCCAAAATTTTTTTTAGAACAATACAGATTCTGGAACTCCTTTGAAAATAAGGCTCGATGAAGTGTGAGTTGTCGAGCTCAGGGACGGAAAAGCGTGGAAAACTGGAAACCTCAAAAGCAATTCCGAACACTGAACGATTAACTCAACCCACAGCCTGGAGCTTTGGAAATGCTGAGACACTTGAGGCACCGGGGTATTGTGCCATTTTTTTTTTCAATTCCATGGTTATTCACACAACCTCAGTGGCTAATGGTGAGAAATTTGTTTATGTTCTTGTTTTTTTTTATTCCAAGAACGAAGTGAAGATTAGAAATAAAATGTGTTTTGTTCCTTATTCTCCGTACAACGAAATACCACCTTAGGGAACTCAAACGAGTATACCTTTTTTTTTGTCTTACGTACGGTGTATGGGAGAAAGAAAACAAATCATGATAATTTTAAATATATTAATAAGAATAATTAAAAAGGAACTTTTGCGTTACAGGAGTTTATACCTTGCGCGTACGCCTCAACAATATTTGAGAGTAACATAGTAGATTATTAATAGAGGAAAGTAATGAGCGAAGGGTCTTTAGTCAGGGTCTTAGTCAAACAATTATTTTTTCCTCTTCCTTTCTAAATTGTATTTTTTTTTTAAGAATAGCATGCTCTTAAAATACATTTTTATGACAAATAACTTTCTACTTCACTTTCTTCGTGCGCACGTGGTTTGAAGCTCGTCTTTTTAGCTCGCCTCGGTGTTACCAACTTTTTACTCTGGTACCCGTATGTGGAAAAAATCAGTCCCACAGCAAAAAATTTTGTAGCCAAACAAGTGAGCGAGACGTTTGATTTGGAGCGCAGCTGTCGCTTTGTTTTTACGGCAACCATCTTGCACTAGAATGTTTGGCAAAATTGCAAGAGGACATAATGGAAATAATGTTGATAATGGTGAATGCAGAATAAATGCAGGATAAAATGTCTCTAGACTGAGCAGAAAGACGTTTGTAAACATATCTGAAATGTTTTTGATGTCGATATTAACGATTTAGTGATATTTTATTCTTGCACATCATTTAATGAGCATTTTTTCACTTCACTGCAATTTAACTTCTTTTTCAAAGAGCTTGTATTGTATCACTTAATACATAAGGTTGGTAATATGAGAAGTATTGGGATATTGGGCTCTAAACTTCTTTTGAATGAGTCTTTAAGGCATCAATACTTTCTTCGAAAGACCTGGAAGAGTCTGCCTAAGTTTTGCTTATACTTAATAAGTGTATAAGCAAAAGGGATTTCAAGATCTCCGCCAGAAGAGATATTTGTGGCATTTATAAGAACAAATTCGTAGCCACAACTTGAAAATGTGATGAGGTCTATGGCACGTTGATTCTTTATGGCCACACTGTGAGCTAAAGAATTCTCCCCTTGTCTCTCACTTAACCAGAATTTTGTTGCATGACTACAACGAAGCCAATAGCATTTGTTATTTACTTACCATACTTGACATTACTTGCGATACTGACCTATCAATTTCTTTTCTTTGACGAAAACGTTGAATTGTATGTATAAATGCATATTCAGAAGTTAGCCGACAATCTAAGATGATCTACGTAGATAATTAAGTGGGAAGTTGTCTTGATGTTGGCTTTTGTTCCTAGAAACAAGAGCTGAGTGCAGTGGATTTAATTTCGGAAAAAGTCGAGAAATAATTTATTCAGAAACTCTAACAACTTATAAATTTGGAGCACAAAAGAGTCTATTCGCATTTTTCTTCAAAATTCTGACGGTGATAAGTCAACCTTTCCGAAGTCCTAATTTTCCATACAAGTAAATCCACGTGTCCGGTCTCAATTGGATGGCAAGGACGTAGTTAGGGGGGAGAGGGTCCTGATGTGCCCGTGACTCTTTCCCCCCCCCCCCCCCTCACCCTTTGCAAACTTTTTTTAAGCACGGCATGGAGGTCGACATGGCGATCTGGTGAGTACCCTTTATTTGACACAGTGTGACCCTCCTCTCCTCCTTTGAGCTTTCCTGGCCAAGCCCTTGGATAGAGACCTCTGGCAAAGGCTTTTCACCACTAGATTTGATTCAGTTTTGTTTCTCTCGTTTCCATGGAAATATTTAAAACTTATATTGATTCTCTTTATTTCTCTCGTTTTCTTACTTCTTTCTTTTTCTCCGCTTGTGTATCAGTTTATGCAACTCCCACACGATTTGCTCCAAACATCTTGTTTTCAATTTCCTCAGCTTCAGCAAACGTTTTTCTTGTTAAAATCTGAAAGATAGCTACGCGAAATTGTCGGATTCTTGCAGTGTAGATGAGTGGGTTTATCGACGAATTAAGCACTGCCAGAAATGTAATAGGGAAGTAAGCGATTTGTCCTACGTCAGAGAAGTTTTCTCCATCTAAGGAAATGAAAACAATCAGCAAAACGCAAGTAGGAATGTAACGAAGGAAAAGTGTCAAAACTATCACGACAGTTGTGTTAAAGGCTCTCTTATTCTTGAGTAACTTTTCCTTCACGGCTAAAGAAACTTGGTTAGCAATGATTTGCTGTGTGTTGCGACGAACTTCTTTGTATATGACAACATGACAATAAACTACAGTGGAGATAACGGCTGAGATAAAAACAACACCTATTTCTCGAAGGAAGCTGGTTTTGATGCCAAAGATAATCACCGCACACATCCACGCCAAACCAGATGCCATGATAATACGAGCTTCAGTAACAAGGCCATTTTCGTACGCGAAGGGGTGTTTGATAGCTAGATAACGTTCTCCGCTCATTAACAACAAGTGGAGAAGCGAAGATGCAACGCATGTTTCGCCAACAGCACTGGATACGCAAACAACAGTGCGGGTCACGGTTTGAAGGCTGCTACCTGTGAAAAACAAGCTGAAATTGGTTGTGGCCAACGGTTGAACAAGCAGTCCTACAATAAAATCTGTCGTCGCCAAGCAAGCCAGCGAGATGTTGGATTTTATACGCAGACGTCGCTTTGTTTTCACGGCACCTATTACCAGACTATTCAGTAAAACTACGAGAGGACATGTGAAGATATTCAAAGCAGCGGTTATTGCTAACACGGAATAAACGCCAGAAGTGATATTTGTGCGACTGTTCGAAAGAAATTCGAAATCAAGAAGGGGTGATGTAGTGTTCGGCATGTTGAGTCCTTATGGCCGCGTGTTGAGTGGAGCAAATCCTTCCTTGTCTCTCACTTGACTGTGTTTTTGCATGACTAGAACGAAACAACTTGCTATTGTTATTTGATTACCACTTCAGTACAAGTGTATTGTCTGTTTTAATGCATAGGCAGAATACTTAGAAGTTGTGTGGAAAAGTACTTGAATGTTGGCTTTTGCTCTTCGTAACAATCCGAGGGCAATTTGCTTTATTCAGATTACTTGAAAGAAAGTGCAGGCGAAAAGCTTGCCAAGAAATTTGACGCAGTTAGGAAGGGGCTTTTAAGAGCTACACATGAAACTAAATACTCGATGATTATTAATTTTTTTCCTCTCGGAAACCCTTTCGTGATCAATTCATCTTTCAACGTGTATTCTTGCAATCGAGAATTGCTCGGTTGCCATAATTCGTTGATAAGAGTACAGGTTACGGTTTGAATCCTGCCACCTATGTGCATCAAGCTGAAATTGGTCTGGGTCAAAGGTAGAACAATCAGTCCTACAGTTAAATCTGTTGTAGCCCAGCAAGCTAATGAGTTGTTAGATTTTGTGCAGAGGCGTCGCTTTGTTTTCACGGCAAATATTACCAGAATAATGAAGAGAATGCCAAGAGGACAAGCTGAGATGTTCAAAGCAGCGCTCATTGCCAACGCAAAATAAAATTTAGAAGATTTATTTGTGAGAAAGGCGATATAGTGTCTACCATGTTAGTTCTCTTTGGCGTCTGTTTGAATGTATGTGCGGAAAACTGGAAAAGAAACAATCCCAAGAGATCTGAGTTGATGAGTGGAAAAGTGTTCCGGATGTTGGCCTGCATTCTCCACAACACTTCAAAAGTAATTTGTGCTTTCTGTAAACGATTTGAAAGAGAATGCAGGACAAAAATCTTGCCAATAAAATTATGCATTCAAAGGAAATGACATCTAAGGGCTGAAAACTGACAACTTGGTGGTAATTCATTCTGATTTCCTCTCGGAAGGCCATTATAATAAACTTATTTTCAATGTGTATTGTTGTCAATCGAACAAAACAGCGAATCAAAAGTCATCCATAAGAGTAAATTGATTGAGAAACGATTACCAACAGAAATTGCTGTCAGTGTTAGTAGAGAGGTTAAAAGATCTAATCGAGCAAAAATAGAAGTAAGGCTACGCAAACCATATGGACTGAGGGATGGTCCTAATAAGTAGAACAACCAAGAAATCTTCTAGCTTGATTGAGTCCAAACTGAAACCCAGGATGCAATTAAAGATAACTTTTTCCAACTGTTTGGGTTTCACAAGTATGTTTTAGCAGCAAAAAATAGAGTGAGCGACATTGCGGCCTTTTGTAACAATTTTTCTGTATTGCACACAAAGCGAACAAAAAGGGATGATGTAGTGTAGGGCACGTTGCTCTTTACAGCCTCCATTCGAGCGTTGAGACTCTCCCCCTTTCTTTCATTTACTGCATGAATAAAACAACCATTACAAAATAATTACACAACTCACATTACCTACAGTAGTAATAGATGTTATTGATTTCTTCTTCGTAAATAAATATATCTTATTAGACGTTTTGGTGTGTAATATCGCTGAGTATTTTTTCGAGTTGTGCCGTATTTTAACGAGACCGTAGGACAAGTCAAAATACAAACAAGGAACGAAAATACTCAGCTATACCACACGCCCAAACGTCTAAAAGGTTATTTATTATCTAACTGGTTTTTTGTCTACTGAGTCTTTCTGCTCATTTCTCATAAGCGAGAAAAGTCAAGCGGATAGAGAAGCGTAGAGCGCGCAGCCGACTGGTCAAACAAGTTTTTTTTACAGTACAAAATAACCAACCGTCCGAATAAATGTACAATATCGCCGGATCTCTGTATTCTATTCGCGCGTTATTTGTAATTTGCTTAGTGCAGTTGGATAATAAGAAGTTGTATTGTATGTTTTAGGAGACATGCAGAATTTAACCGACAATCCAAGGTATCGATGATTTAAGTAGATAATGGGGACAGTTGGTTGCTCTACATATATGTAGAGTTTTGCTTGAATATGTGATTGCGGTAAGTGCAAATGCCTAGTAAACATCATTCTATGGTCTTCTACTCTTCCACCTTGGTGGGTGCCTTGTGTACATAAAAATTGAAGCTCAGTGCCTTTAGTGGCTTTTTCGGCTACACAGATCGAATTCAACAACTGCAAACAACAAGTATTTACGCTGACCATGTGCTTACCAGCATGCTTCTGAGCTCAAATTGTCAGCCCGTTTAATTACACGATCACAGCTCGTACACTTCTTGCAAAATGTGATGACTATTAATTTCAAAGATTGATTCTTCAGTTTCCAGCATCAGGAAAAAAAATTATCGCATCGAAAACATGTTCCTCATAACCCGAGCATTAAGTACGTCTCGAGATGTCGAGCGACGACAAAGTGGCTCCATGTTTTGTCAGACAAACCATTTCTTAAAGTTCGAACGAATCGAGTATAAAGCATGAAAACATAACGCCGAAAAGTACCATGACCAAACAATGAAATTCACTCCCCCCGCAGTAGGATTAACCCATTTTACCCGTGAGTTTGTTTGCACTACACATTTGCGCAAGGTAATTTAATTCTCAGATGTTTGACGGGTTCTCACATGACAATATTTTCAAAATCAAATTACCACGTCAGACTTAGTGTAAACATTAAACATCGCTAACTCAGTCTCATTATATTTCAATCTTGGGAAGGGCTATTACTTCGTTCTCAGTGTAAAACAACAAATCTGCGACAAAACGCGATTTTTTAAAATGAATGAAAATGAATGCGATAGCTAACTGAAGAGAAAATGAGGCAAGAGATAATCCGTAAGATAACTTATTTTCCCTGAACACCACGACTGTATTAAACATTCCAAAAGGTAGGACACGAAATGATTTTAAGAATACGAACACTTTGAAATGTTATTCGAGCGATGAACTGGCGCGAGGGCTTTAAAGCGATGAATGCAAAAGTCACTGTTTTACCGAAACGCAATTTGAATTGTAAACTGAACCTAGTATCAAACGAAGATTGGGAAAAAAGGTTTGAATTTTTCTGGGCCTTAACGTAAGAAAAATCCCAGTTAAGACACGACTTACTTCCTCTTCTTTCTCGGATCCTTTGTGGTTCGCTTCTCTTTGTTGATTTTAGCGTCCTTTCTAACTTTCTTGTGCGTTTTTCTCGACTCGCTTTACTTAGCTCCTTGCTGTCTTTGGCCGCTCTGTCTCTTTCTTTCCAGCTTATTTTCACTCAAAACCCTTTCTCCACGAACTTGAATTATAACAATTTCCTCCGGTTGACAAAGCCACAGCTCTGCAGGTATTGTTGCTTTGCGAGTTGCTTGAAAACTGAAAAATACTGAGAATTACTGTTCAACTACAAATTATTGCATTATTATTATTACAAATTATTTACTTACGCGGCCTCACATCTACTAGCCCTCGCCTAGGGCACTTCATTGTGATCTGCCGGTGTCTCCTGGCACTAATGGGGTATCCTAGCTGATCTTGGACATGACTTTTTCCACCCATGCATTGATATTTTTCAGCAAAACCTGCTTCTTTAGGTGTAAACAATTTGTTTGGGGCTGTTTGAAGCAGGAATGGATCTGACAGACGTACAAGTAGAATTGAATATTTTGTGCCACCGGTTTAGGATAAGTGCAAAATTAGGGGGCATTTTTCTGACAATAGCTACTATTTGCATCGTCTCGCAAATGGTGCTATATTATTATTACTATCACGAGATCTATTTTTCCATTGACCCACTTTTGATGCCGGTTGAGTCCTGCAGATAATTTTGAACATATATAAAGCACAGCTCATGCAAGTATAGTGTAGCAGCGGTAGACTTGATGGCTCATTTTGACTTGATTGTTTTGCTTCAGGACAGTCTTGTTTAGCCAATAGTAGCAAAGGCAAATGCCAAAGAAACTATGGTTCAAAAAGATGAAGGTGTATTTTTTTGCCGCATTTTCTTCGGCATGAAGCACCCACTCAAGACACCGAGGCAGCTTGCAATGTTGCCAAAGAGGTGGATAGGAAATATGCTGTGTCCGATGGAGAGGAAGGGATTGGCAATGTGGTGGTAATTGGTTTGATTCCAAGCACTCAGGGACTTTGTTTGTCTCCTGAAGAACTAAGATACATTATTGTACTTTTTTTATCAGGATGGAGCACCTTCCACAGTAGGTATTGGCGTAGAAACGACGGCTCAGCCAAGATTTTGGAGTAATACAGATTTTGGAGTGTCACTTTTCGAGCTCACGGACGGAAGCGCTTGGAAAACTGGAAACCTCCAAAACGATTCCTTGGAAATGCAGAGACACTTTGAGGCACCGAGGTGTTGTGCCATTTCTTTTTCAATTCCCTGGTTATTCACACGACCTGAGTGACTAATGGTGAGAAAACTGTTTATAATCTTGATTTCTTTTCTTCCAAGAACGAAGGGAAGATTAAAAATTGCAATGTGTTGAGTTCCTTATGCTACGTACAGCGTATTACCAGCTTAGGGAACTCAAAGGGGTCTGCTGTTCTTTTTGTCTCACGGTGTATGAGAGAAAGAAAATAAATAATGATAATGTCAATTATATTGATAAGAATAATTAAAAAGGAACTTTTGCGTTTGAGGAGTTTTAACTTGCACGTACGCCTAAACAATATTTGAGAGTAACAGAGAAGATCATTAGTAAAGGACAGTAATGAGCGAAAAGTCTTTAGTCAGGGTCTTAGTCAAACAACCATTTTTCTACTTACTTTCTAAATTGTAAGCATGCTCTTAAAATAAATTTTTACGTCAAATAACTTTCTATTTCTTTTTCTTCGTGCACACGTGATTTGAAGCTCGTCATTTCAGCTCGCCTTGGTGTTATCTACTTTTCATTCCGGTACCCGTAAGTTGAAAAAATGAGTTCCACAGCAAAAAGTGCTCTAGCCAAACAAGCGAGCGAGACGATTGATTTGGAGCGCAGTTGTCGCTTTGTTTTTACGACAACTATCATGCGCCAGAATGTTTGGCAAAATAGCGAGAGGACAGGTAAAGACATTGAAAATGTTGATAATAGGGAACGCAGAATAAACGTAGGAGAAAATGTTTCTGGACTTAGCGGAAAGACGTTTTTAAACACTGAAATGTTTTTCATGTCGATTTTAGCGATTTAGAGTTAATTTCATTCTTGCACATCATTTGATGTGCTTTTTTTTTACATCACTGCAATTTAACTGCTTTTTCAAAGAGTTTGTATCGTATCACTTACTACATAAAGTTAATAATCTGAGAAGTATTAGCGTGGGATGTTGGGTTCTAAACATCTTTTAAATGAGTCTTAAAGGAATCAATACTTTCTCCGAATAACTTTGAAGAGGGTGCCATATTTTTTCAGTACTTAAGTGTGAAAGTAAGAAAGATTTCAAGGTCTCCGCCAGAAGAGATATTTGTGCGATTTGTAAGGATGAACTCGTAACCGCAAGAAAAGGTGATGATGTTTATGACACGTTGATTCTTTATGGCCGCACTGTGAGCTAAAGAATTCTCCCCTTGTCTCTTACTTAACCGGAATTTTGTTGCATGACTACAACGAAGCGAATAGCATTTTTCATTTAACAAATAGAGAAGCCTTGACTGTGCTCTATTCTGTTAAAAAGCACGCAGGAAACGGCTAGAGCACGAAAGAAGTGTAGGGAGAAACACGAGACGTAGTCGAGTGTTTCTCCCCACTTCTTGAGTGGGGAGTGAGCATGCTCTATACTCTCATAAAGCACGCTGCAATAAGCCAATCACAGTCCTTGCTAGAATGGTTCAAATAATCTGATTGGCTGTACAGGACAAAAGCTGTCAAAAGTGTCAAACCATCAAAGTTCACAATCTGCGATAGTTTACAAACTAAAATAGTTCGGCAAGTCAAATTTAAAACTTTTGCCTGAAGTTTTTGAGTCTCCAATACAGAATCTTGAAGTGAAATGTTCAGTGAACTTCAGCCGAATTATGGCTCATAAAAACACGCGAGTTTTTTGACATGACAAGGTAGAAAACAAACTGTTCAAGGCGAGTGTTTTTTGAATGAACGACAACCGAATTTACCGGAACATGAAGATCACTCGGGATGACAGCGCCGCAAAACTCGGCTGCAGTGACTGATGTAACTTTCTACTCAACGCATCGGAAAGGATATCAGAGAAAGCTCTTATTTTTTCACTCGAAGGGCGGCCGATGTAGTTTCTGAGGCTTGCTTTACGGTGATGACCGGAGATCGCCATAATAAGCGAGCCGCGATGGACTTCAGCATGATCATATTCGCTCAGACACCGTCATGATTAGTATGAATTTTAACAGTTATGCAAGTTTGGTTATATTTGTCATCATTTCTGTTTTGTTCTGTTTTGTTTTTGACCACAGAACTTTATATACTATACGAGTGTTAGCTGTGTTTGATTTTTATTACCGTACGTAAGCTTGCAATCTAACTGGCCATGAAAATCTTTAAAACTCGGAATGTCTATTTTGTTTTTCCTTTGAGGATTTTCGTACCTGCTCACGTTTTAATAACGTAAATTACGGCGCCTGGTATGTTTACAAACCTTTGTTTGGTTCATCTGTTGATACTTGCCGGCTCGCTTGTTCTGAAATTTCACTTTCAGTTATCGGAAAAAAGCTAAAAAGAAGTCCCGGAAAAGGTCGAACATAGCACAATTTGACAGATGGCGTGACAGCTTTAGCTCAGTTCTATGCTCTATACCCTCATAGAGCACGCTCTTTCAACCAATGACACCACGCGTTATATCCGAACTTTATTATAATTAGTAACAACATCATCTTTTGTGTATTGCATAACTTTCATTTTTTATTTACAAGACTTTACATTACTTTTGATAACTGTTAATTTATTTTCTTTGACGAAAACGTTGAATTGTATGTTTACATGTATATTCGGAAGCTAGCCGACAATCCAAGATGATCTACGTATGTGATTAAGAAGGAAATTGTCTTGATGTTGGCCTTTGTTCTCTGAAATAAGAGCACTAGGAGCAATGACTTTAATTCCGGAAAAAGCTGAGAAACACTTTATTCAGAAATTCTAACAACTTATAAATTTGGCGAGCAAAAAAGTATATTCGCATATGACTTAAAAATTCTGACAATAATAAGTTAACCTTTCCAAAGTCCTAAGTTTTCATACCAGTAAAACCACATTTGTCAGGTCTCAATTGGATAGCAGGGACGTAACTAGGCACGGCAGGGAGGTCTCACTCCTCTCGTTTTTCCAGCTGGGTATCAGTTCATGCAACTCCCACACGATTTGCTCCAAACATCTTCTTTTCCAGTTCCTCAGCTTGAGCAAGAGTTTTTCTTGTTAACATCTGAAAGATAGCTACGCGAAAGTGTCTGGTTCTTGCCGTGTATATGAGTGGGTTTATCGACGAATTTAGGAATAGCAGAAATGTAATAGGGAAGAAAGCGATTTTTCCTACGTCAGAGGAGTTTTCTCCATCCAACGAAATGAAAAGAATCAGCCAGACGCAAGTCGGAATATAACAAAGGAAAAGTGTCAAAACTATCACCACAGTTGTGTTAAAGGCTCTCTTATTCTTGAGTAACTTTTCCTTCACTGCTAAAGAAACTTGGTTGGCGATGATTTGCTGTGTGTTACGACGAACTTCTTTGTATATGACAACATGACAATAAACTACAGCGGAGATAACGGCTGAGATAAAAACAAAACTTATTTCCGGAAGGATGCTGACTCTGATGCCATAGACAATCGCTGCGCAAATCCACGCCAAACCAGATGCAGTGATAATACGAGCTTCAGTTACAAGGCCATTTTCGTAGGCGAAGGGGTGTTTGATTGCTAAATAACGTTCCCCGCTCATTAACAACAAGTGGAGAGTCGAAGCTGCAATGCATGTTTGGCCAACAACGCTGAATACCCAAACAGAAGTAGAGATCATGGTTTGAAGGCTGCTACCTGTGAAAAGCAAGCTGAAATTGGTTACGACAAACGGTTGAACAATCAGTCCCACAGCAAAATCTGTTGTGGCCAAGCAAGCCAGCGAGATATTCGATTTTGTGCGAAGATATCGCTTTGTTTTAACGGCACATATTACCAGACCATTCAGTAAAATTGCGAGAGGACAAGTGAAGATATTCAAAGCAGCGGTTATTGCTAACACAGAATAAACGCCAGAAGTGATATTTACGCGTTTTTTTGAAATAAATTCGAAAGGATCAAAAGGTGATGTAGTGTTAAGCATGTTGATTCTTTATAGCCGCATGTGGAGTGGAACAAATCTTTCCATGTCTCTCACTTAACTGTGTTTTACGGTACATGACTACAACGAAACAAGTTACTATTGTTGTTTGATTTTCACTTCAGCACAAGTGTGTTGTCTGTTTTAATGTAAAGGCAGAAGGCTGAGAAGTTGAGTGGAAAAGTACTTGAATGTTGGCTTTTGCTCTTCGTAACAATCCAAGGGCAATTTGCTTTATTTAGATTATTTCATAGAAATTGCAGGGGAAAAGCCTCCCAAAAAAATTGACGCAGTTAGAAAGGGACGATCCTGTTAAGTAGAACAACCAAGAAATCTTAGGGTAACACTGGTAATAGCTTCATTGAGTACAAACTTAAACTCAGGATGCCATTTAGGATAACGCTTTTCACCTGTTTGGGTTTCACAAGTATGTCTAAGCAGCACAAAAATAGAGTGAGCAGCGCTCAGGCGTATTGTTACAATCTGCCTGTGTCGCACACAAAGGAAACAAAAAAAGGGTGATGTAGTTTATGGCACGTTGTTTCTTTACAGTCTTGATTCGTAGTAACGGTTGTTATTGATTTCTTCTCTGTGAGTAAGAAGTTGTATTGAATGTGTTAATGCGTATGCAGAACTTGGCCGACAATTCAAGATGATCTTAGTAGATAAGTGGAAAATTGTCTCAATGTTAGCGATTAACAAAAAAAAGAGCAATTTGCGCCTTTTAAATTAATTTTATGCTGGAAAAGGCTGTTTTTTTTTTCTTTCGGAGTTCCAAAGTCGAATTAATGAGACGAGCCTGTAAAAAGTCTATCCATATATTTGTTGGGTTGCAAACCGTAGAATTCTCGTTTTTCCTGTCTAATCTAATATATGACAAAGGTTGGATATTATCCGATTAGCCAGGTGTTATTATCCTTTAATTCGTGGTCTTAGTAAACAGAGGTCAATGTTTCTTTTTCGGCCGGAAGTGGAATTCAAAGTAGGATAAGTTTATTTTAATAACCTCTTAATAAATAATCGAAGATGTAGGTGAACTTCCTTGGGGGCTTCTGTGATTTAAATTTTTGTGTAAACAATTAAATTTTTGTGTGAACAATTTTTTGGGCTGTTTGAAACAGGAATCGATTTGACAGACGTACAAGTAGAACTGGATATTTTGTGCCATCGATTCAGGATAAGTACAAAATCAGGAGGCATTTTTCTGATAATAGCTATTATTTGTAATCCTTCGCAGATTGTGCTATATCATTATTATTATCACGAGATCCATTTTTTCATTGACCTACTTTTCAATTATCAAGCATCTGAAAGGTTTTGCACATTGTCGCGCTTTGTGTTCAGCAGATAACTTCCATGCCTCTACCGGTTTTCAACCCAAGATAAAAGAGGCTATTCATATTCAAAGAGAACAACCATCCTTGAATCAACAATTACACCCTGTGAATCTAAAACTATCCTTTTAATTGTCACACTTTCATGCTTTACCTCTTTTTCTTGTTGTCACTATTTATCATAATTAGCATTCATTGTTCTACTTACTATATAATTCAACTTCCAACGCTTTGTACATTAATTAAATGAAGATGACAGAAGCTTCTGTCGAAAAATGTATTACAGACTTAAAAGTTTTGTCGCTTTCTTTAAATTCTTGACTTGCCTGCTAATATCAAGACCATTAATTATATTAATGAGAATAATTAAAAAGGAAGCTTTGCGTTACGGGAGTTTATGACTTGCGCGTACGCTTCAACATTATTTGAGAGTAACAGAGAAGATCATTAGTAGAGGAAAGTAACGAGCGAAGAGTCTTCAGTCAGGGTCTTAGTCAAACAACCATTTTTCTACTTCACTTTCTTCGTGCACACGTGGTTCGAAGCTCGTCATTTCAGCTCGCCTTGGTGTTATCTACTTTTCACTCTGGTACCCGTAAGTTGAAAAAATCAGTCCCGCAGCAAAAAGGTGTTGCAGCCAAACAAGCGAGCGGGAAGCTTGTTTTGGAGCGGGGTTGTCGCTTTGTTTTTACGGCGACTATCACCACTATGTTTGGCAAAATTGCAAGGGGGCAAGTGAAGGTACTGGAAAATGTTGATAATGTTGAACGCTGAATAAACGTAGGTGAAAATGTTTCTAAACTGAGCAGAAAGACGTTTGTGAACATAACTAGTCACTGAAATGTTTTTCGTGTCGATTTTGACGATTTAGCGTTACTTTCATTCTTGCACGTCAATTGATGTCCTTTTTCTTACATCACTGCAATTTAACTGCTTTTTCAAAGAGCTTGCATTGTATTAATTAATACATAAAGTTGGCGATCTGAGAAGTATTGGTAGGTTGGCCTCTAAACTTCTTTTAAATCAGTTTTAAAGGATACTTAAGTGTATACGCAAGATAAGATATTTGTGTGATTTACAGGAATAAACTCGTAACCACAAGAAAAGGTGATGAAGTTTATATATGGCCATATATACGTTGATTCTTTATGGGCACACTATGAGCTGAGGGATTCTCCCTTTGTCTCCCACTTAACCGGAATTTTGTTGCATGACTACAATGAAGCCAATAGCTTTTTTAATTTAATGATAACATCATCTTTGTTTTCCTTTTTCAATATTTACAAAACTAACATTGCTTGACATACTTGACATTACTTACGATACCTATGAATTTCTTTTCTTTGACGAAAACGTTGAATTGTATGTTTAAATGCATACTCAGAACTTAGCCGACAATCTAAGATGATCTACGTAGATAATTAAGTGGGAAGTTGTCTTGATGTTGGCTTTTGTTCCTAGAAACAAGAGCTGAGTGCAATGTTTTTAATTCCGGAGAAAACTTAGAAACACTTTATCAAAAATTCTAACAAATAATAAATTTGGCGAGCAAAAAAATTATATTTACATTTTTCTTAAAAATTCTGACGATAATAAGTTAACCTTTCCGAACCCCTAAGTTTTCATATGAGTAAAACCACATGTGTAAGGTTTCAATTGGATAGCAAGGACGTAACTAGGCACGGCATGAGGTTGACATGACAATCTGGTGAGTACCCTCTATTTGACACAGTGTGACCCTCCCCCTTCCTTTGAAATGTCCTGGCTACGTCCAGAAAAAGACCTCTGGCAAAGGTTTTTCAGTATCAAATTTCATTCAGTTTTTTGTTTCTCTCGTTTCAATGGAGAGATCAATAAACTTCCATTGATTCTTTTAATTTCTCTTTCCTTCTCACTCCTCTCGTTTTTCCGCTTATGTATCAGTTCATGCAACTCCCACACGATTTTCTCCAAACATCTTGTGTTCAAGTTCCTCACCTCGA